GATTAAGTCCATTAGGCTTCTATTCGAGGTTTTACGGTATTTCACAAATATCTTGTCTGTGAAATATAAAATATTCTTATCAGAATCAGAAATGATGACCATGTTTGAGAAACCCAGTGGAAAACGTGGTACCGTATCACCCTTAGGAGGGGAAAATACAAACACAGGTTTTGTATTATGGACAATAACGAATGTATGATTCAGTAATGACTCACGAAAGAGGTCTCTATAAGAGACTCAAGGCATAAACTAGAAAAAGACAACAACAATACTTTGACTTCTCGAAATTCTGAGGAATAAAATTGCGCACGTATTCGAGATTAAATTTTCACACCACCCTCTTTGTTTCTCCTTCTCCTATACTATCTTGGAGACTGATCTTGCAACGATATTTTTTTCTTTTCAATCCTGCTAACTATTTCGGCATGGTGTTTTAATTCAGTTGAACTTTAGCGTCCATGGCATTGTTTTACCCATCAGATCTGATTCATTACAATCACAATTAATATATATCTCATGTCTTGCTTTAAATTATTAACTTGATCACATCTGAAGAGTAGAATATATTAAACAAAATTGACAAAATGATATACTGTGTACTGTAAAAGCGTAAACCTTCACTTAACATACATCGTGGGAATGACACTGTCATCTTCTGCTAACGCAAAATCCAATTATTAGCGGTGAACTGATCAATTTCACTAGTATTCCCAGTGGAGAGAAGTTTTTGTTCTAACCGGGGCTTTTTACCTTGGACTTGATAGGCGTGGGGGATACAGGGGGATGATTAGTTATAACTAGGTGGCTGACCATCTCTGACCCTCTATTGTCTCATGCCTATGACTACATTTTTCTTGGAAACATGATTATGTTAGGAACATGATATTTAAAAATATATTTTTATGCAGAATGTGATTTTTTTTTATTGCAAAAACAATGAGTAACAACATTATTAAACTAACGGTACGGTACATCATGTACAAACAGATTTGATAAAGTTCGATAACCCCGAATGCATCGTGCTGTTTGGATTTTATAATGTACCATATCCGATAGGCCTATATTCTAAGAAAAAAAAATTAGTAATTAGAGAGTGGCATCCATTGAACAAGTATAGATCAAACCTCACACTGGGCCAAACCTTACAAGAATCCAATCGTAAATGATGGCTTATCACCTGTGATTCTCATCCAATCGTTCCCTTTAAGTACGTCATTAACATCAACATTTTCCTTCGAATTAATTAACTTTTACGCGTTTAACCATTCCAAGAGTAATCATGAACGGTTTTAAGAAGCTCAGTTATTAAATAATCGGATTCTGGGAAGTTGTGTGTTGACGTAACTAAGATTTTATGTTTTGCAATAATCATAAAATTTGTTAAGTACGTTTGTTCACTAGATTATAAAATAACATCATTAGTAATTTAACAAAGGTGGCCATTTCCTCCGTTTCGGGCGACATCGTAGGCGGTTACGCATTATGGTTGAAATATAAGGAAATGGAAACATAAAGTTTGAGGTAGCCTTGTGTATAATAAAACTCACAAGCCGTCTACACAAATATTTCTCTTCGAGGTTGATTATAGCTGGTTTGATGCCACATAAAATACTATCAACGACTTCAGCCTCAATACTGTAATGATAACTCAAGGTTACCACCATGAAAAGTGACCCCAGCACGGATTCCACATAGGCCTACTCAAATTCTCATTTTACATACATTTTGCTGACATAATCCGTTTATCTGAAGCCGGATCAGACTGTTTCTGTGTCCGACAGATCCAACAGACAATTTTCGAAAATATTTTGTCTGATACTATGTTTTTTCATCAGATATTATCTTGATTTGTGTCTGCCATGTCTGTCGAAGTCGGGATAAAACCTATTTCATCAGATGTCTGGCCAAACACTGCTTAAAGCTGTATTCACATCCGATCCGAACCGAAATTTTGACCGCGTTCCCGATACGCTGAAAGTCAGCGTCCTATTCTTATACACTGATCCGATTTTCTGATCGGCTCGATAGGTTTCCGAACCGAACATTCAGATTCGTTGTGAAAAGTGACAGACATCGAATTCTCAGGCTGTCCGTTGTTCTTGTGTGAGATGTTAGGTTATTGTCAGTATGCAAATTGACAGACTTATTTCACTGTCATTTGAATGCAGGTCCGGCGTGGCTAAAACATAAAACCAGATTTTCGGTGATTTTTCCTGGGGTTTCGGGGCCTATATTTTCCCACTGGGGCCTGTGGGCCTGGGGCTGGCGCCTTAAAACCCCTATGTTAATCTGGTCCTGTTTGAATGTATATGTACCTTGGGCGAACAGTCTTATATTTATGGATATTGCACTCTACAAATACCAGCTATTGATTTCTAAATCAAGGCGTCATGCTTAACTTTAGTCTACTCAAATTACGTTTGATGTAGCTTCGTCTTATAGTGTAGGTCCATCATTTCAGAGACTATGAGAGACATATGATGTGCCGTTTCATGTCTGCTGGATAATAAATAGTGTATGCCTTATTCATCAGATCTATGTGTGTCTTATGTGAACGAAATACTCCTGCAGAGCCCAACAATAAAAAATATCTAAAAGAAATAAATCTTTACAGACTTACGAAACGTGTACGCTTATTACAGATCCTTTGCTATATTGACAGTTGTCAATCTGTTTTTCTAATTTCATGCCTACGTTATTCTATGCAACAATTTCTCTTTTAATTTTGGATACAGAACTACATTTCTTTGAAATAGGTTAATGGCATTTTACAAATATGTAACTCAATATTACAACTCAATCAGTTGGACGCTTCCTGAAATAGGCACTTTTTAGGTGTGCTTTTCAATTAGCCTTTGCCAATTTCAAAAGGTATTATCAGATAACATCAAATATCGTCAAGAGTCAGTTAATTTGTACTTTTCGTTCACGATTTAAAGTACACATTATGTCACTTGAAATACTTGTTTTCTTTTTTCTAAATCGTAATAATTATAAATAACAACTTTCGTTATCGAAATAAAAAGCAAACGGATGTTGGAAATAAGCTGGAGTTATTCACTACTGTCATTCAAACCATTCACATTGTCGTTGGTAAACAGAAAATTTGAGTGCGATTGACTGACAGAAGATTGGAACGTAGATTTGATGATTATTTTAATGGAATTTTTTTTACACGAGTTGAAAAGCGGAAGATTACCAAATGCACGAGGTCTTGTAGAGAAGTTAACTACTTCAAATGCTACATGTGTATGAGTCAGATAAAACAGGTTTGTGTGATAGTCTTGGACTGTATGTCGCACCGGGGACACCGTGTCACCCTCAGATACAAATCGATAGACAACTTGTATAAAATTTGCAACAAAACGTATTAATATACTTAGTACAGAATACCATGTTGAAAATACATAGAACCAACACTTATATGATGTACATATTAAATTTGCTGCCTATGCACTGTAAACACAATACAAACAAATACTGTAGATAAATAAATTAAAAAATCTTTGGGCCTATTTATCTATTTCTTTGTAATATATATATACATATATAT